AGCCTTTGACCCCCTGGTGTGTTCTGCTTCTGCGGTCTTCTTTGTCCTTCTTCAAGTTTCATAACTTAGTACTTGCTGGGGTTAAGACTTCAGAAGTCATTTGTCAGACCAGGCTTACAGCCTTTCGAGATCCCTCTGTAGGCATACTTGATCCTCGTCCGCTTTTATCTCCTCATTAGTTTCACATCGTCTGCGAACTGGAACACCTTTGAATCTATCCCTTCTGTCATGTCATTCACATATACAAGAAGCAGCACCGGACCTAGTACTGACCCTTGTCGAACCCCCCACCCGACACATGCGCCCACTCTGACACTTCGTCATGTACCAACACGTTTCCTTCCTGCTAGGTATTCCCTGATCCGTTACAATTCTATTCCTGCCTGTTCCTCTAGGTTTTCAATGTTTCTTATATGCTACTGTGTCGAAAGCCTTCTTGCAGTCCAAGATGCACTCCACCCGCCACTCTCCCCTGAGCCTGGCCCATGGCCGGGCTCAGAGAGTAGATATACTCTCGAAATTCTTCTTCAAAGGTATATCCAGTAGGTTTGTGATGCAGGATTTCCCCTCTCTGAAGCCGTGCTGGCTGTCATGTATGAGCCTGTTTTTTTTTTTTTTTTTTTTTTTTTTTGGGGGGGGGGGGTGCTCCATTACTCTTCTGATAATCTCCGTGACTTTACATACTATACATGTATGTCACCGACACTTTAGTGTAGTTTAATGCTGCCTGTCTGTTTCCTTTCTTAAAAATTGGGATTACGTTTGCTGTCTTCCACACCTCAGGCATTTGCCCTGTTTCGATAGATTTATTGAAAACTGTTGTTAGCGGGGCACACAGTGCGTCTGCTCCTCTCAGGACCCAAGGAGAGAGATTATTTGAGCCCATCGCCTTCTAGGTATGCAGGTCACCTAGCAGTTTCATCATCACCACCTCGGTTGTGTGCAGTGTGTCTAGCACTTGCTGGTGTACCCTGCCTCCTCGGTTTGCTGGAAACCTGTGTCTCCATTGTGAATGCCTCTCCAAATCATGTGTTGAGCTCTTCACATACTTCCTGGTCGTTCCCTCTGAGCTGCTGCTCCTCCTTTCTTCCTTCAGCCTTCTTACCTGGTCCTTATCTGTTGTTTCCCCCCTGATGTGGCTGTATAGCAACTTGGGTCACATTTTGGCTTTGGATGCTGGGTTCCTCTCCTTATCTATGTATATTCGTTTCTAACTGTTCGGTTCAACTTTTCCTGAGTGTGTGTGGGGGGGGGGGGGAGAGGGGTTCCAACAGTTGAGTTTACTTAGTAAAGTACTCAGACCCTCGTGTCTCAGTGCTTGTCTTTCATAATATTTCCAACAGTTTGCTCCTATATATTTGTAAAATTTGTCTAAGTATATAAGATTTGAATTCCACCCTTTTGATTGCATAATTGTTAATAAATAGTGACATAATTCCTTTTGAATTATCCTTTTTAGCCTGATAACTTGTGTGGTATCCCTACTTTTTATACCTCAGCAATACCTAATTTAAATGCGAGTTAGCCTGCCACATATGTATGGTAATTAGGTACCGTAGATGGAGATAATATTGGTTATCCTGGGGGAATTACTTCCGCTACCTTGTAGTGTATATTTGTCTGGGTTTTCTTGATGGTAGGTATAGAACAGTGGTCGGCTAGTTCGGTTTGGGGTTATTTTATTATACCGTGGCTTAGAAGAGTCTTTCAATTCCCCATATATCACGCCCTAAGGGTTTAGCGCCCTCCTTTTTCCATGCATATAAGACTGATGATGTATAATATTCTCCAACACTTTTGATAACGTGAATGTTAGATACAGGGTTTTAAATTTAGCACCTCATTCCACAGGTGTGTCCCCAGTTTTATGTATGGTAACCGTCTTCTCCGTTTTCTGATAACGGTTTCGTTTGGAGTGACTGGTTGAAAACCTTTGTTATTGAGTTATGCAGTGATTTTGAGCAGTCTCTCGGTACCCTGAGATGTGTTACCTGTATCCATTGCTTTGTTCTGTCAGACCACTTGGAATGTTTTCTGGTTCCTGTTGTTTTCTTTGCTTTTCCAGACAGAGCTTATAGAGCAAAGTTTTTGTTGTGAATCTTATCAGTGTATTCTCTAGGCCAGTTTTGTTGGTACCTGGAGTTTACCTGGAGAGAGTTCCGGGGGTCAACGCCCCCGCGGCCTGGTCTGTGACCAGGCCTCATGGTGGATCAGAGCCTGATCAACCAGGCTGTTACTGCTGGCTGCACGCAATCCAACGTGCGAGCCACAGCCAGGCTGTTCAGGAACTGACTTTAGGTGCTCGTCCAGTGCCAGCTTGAAGACAGCCAGGGGTCTGTTGGTAATCCCCCTTATGTATGCTGGGAGGCAGTTGAACAGTCTTGGGCCCCTGACACTTATTGTATTGTCTCTTAACGTGCTAGTGACACCCCTGCTTTTCATTGGGGGGATGGTGCATCGTCTGCCAAATCTTTTGCTTTCGTTGTGAGTGATTTTCGTGTGCAAGTTCGGTACTAGTCCTTCTAGGATTTTCCAGGTGTATATAATCATGTATCTCTCCCGCCTGCGTTCCAGGGAATACAGTTTTAGGAACCTCAAGCGCTCCCAGTAATTGAGGTGTTTTATCTCCGTTATGCGCGCCGTGAAAGTTCTCTGTACATTTTCTAGGTCAGCAATTTCATCTTCCTTGAAAGGTGCTGTTAGTGTGCAGCAATATTCCAGCCTAGATAGAACAAGTGACCTGAAGAGTGTCATCATGGGCTTGGCCTCCCTAGTTTTGAAGGTTCTCATTATCCATCCTGTCATTTTTCTAGCAGATGCGATCGATACAATGTTATGGTCCTTGAAGGTGAGATCCTCCGACATGATCACTCCCAGGTCTTTGACGTTGGTGTTTCGCTCTATTTTGTGGCCAGAATTTGTTTTGTACTCTGATGAAGATTTAATTTCCTCGTGTTTACCATATCTGAGTTGGTTTAGAAAGACACGTAAGCAAAACTATGACATATTTATTAGAAAACGTTTCGGTCCTGGGACCTTGATCACTTCTAACATACAGAGGTAGAAAGGCATTATATATATAGACGGAGAGTGAGGTGTGACGCACGTGACCTGAGGAATGTCATAAGAACATAAGAATGGAGGAACACTGTAGAAGGCCTACTGGCCCATGCGAGGCAGGTCCTTATCAAAACAACCTCTGCCTATGATGAGGATGGGTAGACGATGAAATCATGTGACTCCTGTGTTGTTGGGTTGGTGGTGCTTAAGTATCATGTATGCCAATGTTTTTGAAATTTTGTAGTTTCCAGTGTTGCGTTCTATAGTGTCGGTGACGGCGATTAGTGAGGCTTCTAGGCACCGTCGGCGTCTGAGGTCTGGTTCGGTGAGAACGAGTTGTGCCTCATTCCAGTTCATCAAATGTCCCGTGGAGTCTCTGTGGAGGACACAGGCGTACCTTACATCGTCTCTGTTAGAGGCATTTCGATGCTCATTCAGGCGGACTGCAAGATCTCTGCCTGTCTCGCCTACATATTTCTTGGGACAGAACCCACAGGGGATAGTGTAGACGCTGCTGTAGAAGTTAGAGGTGTGGGGCTGCGTTTCGTAGTGAGGTCTTTGATAGATGATGTGTTTATGGTGGAAACGTTGATGTTACTCATAGCAAGTGCCCGGCGAGTATTCGTGGCAACATCGCCACATGGGAGTACTATGAACTGCTTAGGGGGCTGTTCCATGGGCAGTTTGTTGAGGATAGCTTGTGCCTTAAGTCTGCAATCTCGGATGAAGAAAGATGGGAACTGAAGACGTGTAAAGGCTTGTGTTATGTAAGTGCATTCTTCTTCTAGAAAACAAGGGCTGGAGATGCGAAGAGCTCTCAAGTCTCCGCACTGTCGCTTGATCTTCAGATAGTTCCTGACTATGGAACTGAACTTCTCCAGGCCGAGGGACTGACAACCTCAAATTCTACGACTTCAAGGGTGATGGACTGATTACATCGTCTTCACATCTCTACTGTTCCTGCCTACTTTCTGTATTCGACTGAAGAAGCCTACTGTGTAGGCGAAACGTTTCGGAATAAAGTTGCCTAACTGTTGCCTATGTGTCTTACCTACCAACCTGTCGGTATTGTATACCATTTTGATGTTCAGCTCTCAAGAAGAAGCCAATGAGGACTCCTCTCTTAGTGCGGGTGTCTTGGTGTGAATAAAAGTGTATAAGATCGTCCTTATACAGCAGGGCTGTATAGCCCTTGTGGCTTAGCGCTTCTTTTTGATTATAATAATATAATAATTTAGCATTTTGAATCAAGGAAAACCTATTTTTTTGTTTTTGTGGGGGAAAGATTTCACATTAATTATTTGCTCTTGGGCAGCTGTTTATTTCACATTACTGTTTAAAACCTGAGTTTGAATTATATCCACTGCTTGTTTAACATGGTCAGTATTTTTTTTTTATTTATGCCTTATGTAATATAATAGATTATTTTTTGTTTATTAAAAATATTAGTTCGTATAGTTTAATATGATTGTATTTCTGCTGAATGTTCTTTTAGCGGTTTTATGAGTGTGTTGTGCGAGTAACAAGGTAGCAATATATGGGTATGTAAGACAATGTAAGGGTTATGGTATTTACTTACTAAACGTTTCTCAATAAAATACCATAACTCGCGCATTGTATCTGACCTCTTGAGTCTAGACAGAAACTGTATAACGCCCATAATTACACAGTCGTACCGCTGTTCGGACAAACTTATATTTTTGGAACACTGTAAACTATCCTCGTGTAAGACGAACTCGTCACTGATCTATTCCTTAATAAATTTTAACTGTATATTGGTGACTGATGTCTGTTATTTCCTGCTGGTAAGTTGGTGACTTTGATATTCTTGATATACGGTGTATGACACTTTACAAGAATATATTATCGTGTGATGTTTCTTGTTTTTTATTTATTTTTTTTTTACAAATTATTACAGTTGGTTACTTGTTTGTTTACAGATGATGGCGGACGTGGACCCGGAGACGCTGTTGGAGTGGCTGCAGATGGGCCAGGGCGAAGAGCGGGACATGCAGCTCATCGCCCTGGAGCAGCTGTGTATGCTCCTCCTCATGTCCGACAATGTCGACAGATGCTTCGAAAGGTCAGTTGCTTCTGTTTTAATTTTTTTAATACACCTCTGCATTTCTTGCTAACAAAGCAGATGCAAACTCTCAGTGACGTATGCTGATAAAATGGTTTTGGTATTAGCTCTTATTAGGAGTTTGGTACAGTTTAGTAATGTGTTTAATTCAGCATCCAAGTGAGACTTTGTAATGGGGTAAAAAAAAAAACCTAGTTTGGATACTTAGCCCGGTGAAGGGCAGAAAACCTGCCAAACAACTTCTTGGACAAAACCAACCCTGTTAAAAAATTACCGGGATGACCCTCCCCCCCACGGGACATAAAAGCTGAGGCTTATCCACACTGAACCTACCTCAACCAAACTACACCTCACCTAATCTAATCTATACTCTTGATTCACCTTTGAAGGCTTTCGAGAGTTTTTCTGCTCTCACTGTTCGGCTCTGGGCCAGACTTGCCTGATGAACCAGGCTGTTACTGCTGGTAGCGCACTAGTCTACATATGCATCACAGCCTGGTTGATCTGGCACTAAGCAGAGGTGCATGTTCAATTTCCTCTTGAAAAATTCTAGACTTGTTCTGGCAGTGTTTCTAATATTTTGTGGTAGTTTGTTATAGTCTGGGCCCATGGGCCCTTATTGTGTATATTTTCCACATTTTCCCATATTTCTCACTCCATGTGTTATGGCAGTGAGGGATGTGGGAGGAGGTGCAGAATAAACCCGGGGGAAAGCAAGGGTGCAATGGACACAGTAAAGACTGTCAACGTTCGTGGCCCCAGACTATTCAACATTTTACCAGAGGGTGTCAGAAACACTGCCTGGAAAAGAGTTTTGCTCCATTGTCTGGAACAGTGTGAAGCTAAAGCAACAGTAGGGGGACTGATATATACTGTCAAAGGTGAGACACCGATAATTTTAACGACAGGAGAGGCGGAGCCCACTAGTAGAAGTAAGAATGTAAACACTGAGAGGGCAGGTCCCTCTCAAATCCATCCCTTCTCACCTGTAACAAGTGGTCAGACAAAAAAAAAGTTATAGATTTTTCTGTACCGAGCCGCGGGGGCGTTGACCCCTGAAACCCTCTCCAGGTATACTTCAGGCAAACTCCAGGTATACCAAGATACCGTTGTGTTGCAGTTCGTTGTTCCCAGTGCTTTCACTTTGTGCATCACTTAATGATCACATTTATCAAATGCCTTTGCGAAATCCGTGCACACATCTGCGTTTTGGTTTTCTTTCAACGCTTCCGTAATTCTGTCATAGTGGTTGAGCAGCTGTGATAAGCATGATCTTCCTGCTCTAAATCCATGTTAATTTGGGTTGTGTAGGTTAATGTGTTTCGTAAAGTTTTCTTTTTGATGTCTCATGACCTCAAAAGACTTTCGTGATGTACATATTACACTAGGGCTACTGATCTGTAATTGTTGGCTAGTGCTCTGTTATGGGGTTTCGTCTAAATTTATATTTCCTCCAAGCCTAAATTAAATAAACCAGAGAAAGGGGGTTGCTCAACTGTGTAGTTTTGCTGTGGGATTTTATCTGGGTGGGTTATGCTCACATGACTTTATTTTTGTGTGCATGACGGGTAGATAAAGTTGTAGTGGCACAGGTTTGTGTTGGCTCTACTGATCAGATGGTTAGGTAAATGTGTTAGTGTATAGTATTGGGACTGGTATAATCGTGGAGGTGAAAGCAAGGGGGATGTGTGTTTATTTGTCTGAGAAGATTGAATACAGCTGGAGTGTGCTATTACTCACTTGTATATGATAGTTCATTGTGGTAATAAAGGCTGGGTAAATTTGCCTATCATATTTCATTACACAGGATAAGTTTCATACACCAGGTAATGAAATATGTCAGCCAGAGTTGGGAGACTTGAGTAGGGCAGTGAGAATATCGGCAAGCATTCCACTGTGTTCATTAGTTACTAAAATTTCAAAGATTTCGTTCAAGCAGCAGCCTTCGAATTACCGTCTTCAATTGTGGCTCATTCCTAGTCACACAGTGATGATAGTGTAGGAGATGGAGGTCATGGTGAAGGTCGTGGAATTGGTGTGGGTGGCATTGGTAGTGATGCTGTAGGTAGTAGTGGAGGCATGGTTGTTAGTAGTAGTAGTTTGGGGCTTGGAAATGGTTAGTGGCGGAGGTAGTGGCGAGGGTGATGGGTGTCGGCGACAACGGAGGTGGTAGCACAATAGCATGGGTAATCTACCTGGAGGGTGTTCCAGGGGTCAATGCCCCCGCGGCCCAGTCCTTGACTAGGCCTCCCGGTGGATCAGGGCCTGATCAACTGCTGGCCGCACAGTCCAACGTACAAACCACAACCCGGCTGATAGGGTATTGAGTTTAGGTAACTGTCCAGCTCCCTCTTGAAGGCAGCCAGGGGTCTATGGTAATTCCGCTTATGCTTGGTGGGAGGCTGTTGAACAGTCTTGGACCCTGGACATTTATTGTGTTTTCTCTTAGTGTACTAATGGGGGTATATTGCACCGTCTGACCCAGTCTTTTGCTTTTATAGGTAGTGATTTCTGTGTGCAGATTTGGGACTAGTCCCTCTTGGATATTCCAGGTGTAGATTATGATGCATCTCTCTCGCCTGCACTCAGTGAGTACAAGTCAAATGCTTCCAAGCGTTCCAGTAGGTAAAGCGTTCGACGGAACTTGTATGTGCAGTAAAGATTTTCTGTACATTCTCTAGATTCGCAATTTCACCTGCCTTGAATGGGGATGTTAATGTACAGCAGTATTCCAGCCTAGGAGAACAAGTGATTTAAAAAGGATCATCATTGGCTTTGCATCTCTTGTTTTGAACGTTCTCATTATTCATCCTATCAGTTTCCTAGCAGATGTGGTAGTGGAATTGTTATGCTCCTTGAAGGTGAAATCCTCTGACATTACCACTCCCAAGTCCTTTGCACTACTTTTCTGCCCTATTGTGTAATTAGAGTTAGTAGTTTCTCAGTTCTAGTTATTTCCTCCAGTTTTCTATAACGGAGTAGTTGGAATTTGTCTTCGTTGAACATCATATTGTTTTCCGTTGCCCATTGGAAAACGTGGTTTATATCTGCTTGGAGATTTAAAGTGTCTTCAGTGGATGACAGTCTCATGCAGATTCTAGTATCGTCTGCAAAGAATGACACGGTGCTATGGTTTACATCTCTGTCTATGTCTGATATGAGAATGAGGGACAGGATGGGGGTGAATATTGTTCCTTGTGGAACAGAGCTGTTCACTATGGCAGCCTCCGACTTAACTCTGTTTACCACTATGTGTTCGATATGTTAGAAAGTTGAAGATCCATCTTCCCACTTTGCCAAATATCCCTTTAGCTCGCATTGTGTAAGCTATTACACCATGATCGCCCTTGGCAAAGGCTTTTGCAAAATCTTTGTATACTACATCTGCATTCCGTTTGTCTTCCAGTGTATCCAAGACGACCTTATCATAGTGGTCCAGTAGTTGCAAGAGGCAGGATCGACCTCCTCTGAACCCATACTGCCCTGGATTGTGCAATTGTTGGTAATCCAAGGGATTTGGAATCATACTTCTTAGTACTCTTTCAAAGATTTTTATGTTGGATGTTAGGGCCATTGGTCTATGGTCTGTTGCTTTGCTGCCACCTTTGTGGAGTGGGGCTATATCCGTTGTTTATAGTGACCGGGATTTCACCCGTGTCCATGCTCTCCATAACATAGGGCACGCAAAAGGGGTTTCTTGCAGTTCTTAATGAACACTGAGTTCCACGAGTCTGGGCCTGGGACTGAGTGCATGGGCATATTGTCAGAGCAGGAGAAATATCAGAGCTGGAACAGATTCGGAGATTATTTACGGCCTTTATAGCTAATAAAAAAATAAATTACTAAAACGCCTCTGTCCTAAATATGTACTTCCTGGGGTGGAGGAGAGAGAGAGAGAGAGGTATAATACCTATATTTTACCTGCACGTTGTTTCTGGGGCCAGTGCCCCTCCAGCCCAGTCCATGACCAGGCCTCACGGTGGATCAGGATCTGATCAACCAGGTTGTTACTGCTGGCAACACTCAATCCGACGTACAACCACAGGCCTAGTCCCGAATTTGCACACTGTCATCACAACATATTAGAGTGAGAGAGATATGGGAGAAAATGCCAAATAAATTTAGTGAAAAGCAGGGCCACCACGGACACAGTAAGAGAACATTGTATCAACATCAGTGGTCCTAGATTTTTTAACATCCTTCCGAAATATAATCAGAAATGTTGCCGGAACAAGTGTAGAAGTCTTCATGGTAAACTGGACCAGTACCTCTAAGTGCCAGATCAACTAGGCTATAATGTCTAATGGGCCAGCAGTAACACCTGGTTGACCAGGCAAACACCAGTCGAGCCTGGCCCAGGACCGGGCTCCAGGAATAGGAACTCTAGAAATCCATCAATGGTAGTATGAGTCAAGTATAGATGTTGGGAGAGGGGCCAGGTACGTAGGGGCGGGCAGTAGGTGTGGAAAAGAGGATAGCAGGTGCTTAGCTAGGCCAGACAAGGTCAGGTGTTGTGGCCGAGGCCAGGCTGGGGGTGTCTCCTGGTCACCATGGTAACCCACACAATCACTAACTGCTGCTCCTTCAGTCAGGTTTCTTCATTGTTTCGTTTGTGTCACTTGTCTGTCGTGATATACCACCCAAGTGTCTGATTGATCTATAGATTCTTTTAATTCCGTCGTTATCTGGCTAATAAAAAGTTACAGAAGTATATTGACTAGTTTCGAGGGTACTAGCCACGCAGCTCGGCCAGGGTTCATGGTCGATTGTTTAATGAACCAGGATATTGTGGCCCGCTAGCTAAAATAGTCATCACAACCTGCCTCGTGTATATAAAGGCTCCTGCAAGCTGGTTAGCGATAGTTTACGAGAAATTGTATGTGATACCGAGAGTCCCATTGCATGAATCTCAAGTTAATAAAATTCAAGATAGTATCAGAGTAGACATCTGTTACATTAGGTTGACAAAGAGGGAGATAGACAAAATGCTTTTTTTTTAC